GTTATTTTTTTTCCCCTATTATCTATGTATTTCTGAATATAATAAGTCTGAAATCCTCAAAAATAGACATGTTAAATTCATTACACTTTTTATTTTTTCTTTTGATCTAGCGAATCCAATTCAATAAGAATATGCTAATGAAACTATGTTAATCAACCAAATATTATTAAAAATAGTCACTTTACAAAGCTCAATATGCATGTATAATAAAATTTTATTATTTCATTTGTTTCACTTACATAATTTTGTATGAGAGAAGCAATCAATTGTAAATTTTGACAAACTGTATCAATAACATCAATCTGTGATTGTTCCATTCCCTAGTTTCAAAAAAATCTTTACTTATCAAATTCTTTTATAAATATAATTTTTTACTTGAAGAAGTTGTGGTAAAACATGATATTGATATTTTGATAAAAGACCATTAACACCAACTAATTCAATAATATATTGATTATGTGCACAATGAAATTCAGGTGTTACACCCGTATCACTATATATCTTTGCATATTCTTCTTGCAACTAAAGTAACCGGAAAAGGAATTGTCAAACTAAAGTTAATTATTCTTATCCGTTTTTCTATTTGTTTCTAATTAATTCTCACATATTGATAAATTTATCTGGTTGATGAAAGGCTACAATTATAATCGATTGATAAAAGAAGAAAGAAAAGCAAAATAGTAAAACTGATTTGCAACTTGAATTTATTAGAAAACTGTTGATTAAATAAGGTCAAACAGTCAAGTAAGGATTTTTCTATTATATCTATATGCATTCTTTTTTTTTAATATTCTGTGCAGCACTTCAAACAGTTCTCTTGATAATACTCTTAAAAGCTTCTTTTTCTTTACTCAATATATTGATACTATTAATAAATAGTTCTTAGATCCACTATGATTTATCGAGTGTATGAACTTAATTGATTAATCAATCGAACATATTTCTTCCTTTCATTTATTTCAATTTGTATCACGTAATTTTATACGAATCAGATCAAATTATAGAACATCTACTTGTCTTTAATTAAAAATTTCTGGAAAGAAACTGACGAAATAAAAAATAAAGTTTAATAAAGCGAAATACTTTAATTATATCTAATTTTTGTCCATCAAAGTAAAAACAAAAATTTATTTCAACTTACTTCTTCAACAATATCATGACTTGTTTCTAAAATTTCATGAAGATCACAACGATGTTGTTTATTAATAGATAATTCAACACTTTTATTTGTTATAAAACTTGCTAATGGTGTACAAATTTCTTTTTCCATTAAACATGCCATTTTTTTCAAAGACTATTTAATACAAAAGAATATGAATCAACAACAATTATTTAATAAAAATATTCCTTTTTTTCGTCTATTGACCTGTGATTCTAATTCTGATTCAAGTAATAATGATTCCCATAAATCGTACATCATACCACCTAGATGACATCTAATAAAACGTCATATCTATTGACTATTTATTAATGACAATAAAACATACTTTTCACGAATTTCAATTTCAGTTTTTTTACGAAAATCATTTACAAGTTGATGTAATTGAGATGATGCCAAAAAGCATATTTTAGCCCATTGATTTGTAAAATCCGTAACTAAATTATTATGAATTATTTAAATAGGAAAAAATAAAATCTGGTTTCATTGTATTATTAACTTAATTTAGTAAAAGTAATAGTCACTTCAGCATATTCAATCAGTTTATGCCATACTTGAGGATCAGGAAAATCAACAAAACTTAGTCGACGTCTCGTACTGTTCGCCATATGCTTTATCTAAAAATTATACAAAGAACAACGCACAAATAGACAACACTGGTTTATGAAACACAAAATGATAAACAGTGATAATTAATTGCTTAAAAGAGAAAAAAAGCTGTTGATCGAATCTGTAAAAGGTTAAAAAAGAAAAAGGCCCGTATTTATAAACATCTTGTAGAGAATCAATTCTGTGAAAACGTCGTTTTTTTTTCAAGAGAGCATAAAACATGGTAAGATCACGTTCTCAATGGAAGATATATGGAATATTTTTTTCTCCATTCGTTATTCTGTCGTCTTTTCATCTTAGATTCATTTTTTTTTTCTTCGACTAATACTTGAGCGAGCGAGCGTACATGATGATGGTGTCAATCATTTCGCTCCCGAATGCTGCCGATGTATTCAATCCACTATCACAATCTCATTTCTTTTTTCTCTCGACTAACTAACGCTTCGGTTATATCATTGTCTTTGTATGTGCGTTCATTTTTCCGCACGTACTCCTCCTCACTTTCTTTAGTTTTCCTTTTTGTTTTTACGTGACTCGATCTATTTGAATCGCGATGTTTAACTTAATCACCGTTAGTAAGGCCATATATCTTGTCAGTTCTTTTTTTGTTAGGTAGAGCAACAGCAATCATTATTAGACTATTGTTCGGATCGTGTTTTTTTAACATTGGTTTACAATACGCTAGAGGTAGTCCTCTATTTTTAACTTTAAATACATTCGTATGAATGGCGAAATCTCAATGGAGCTTTATCGAACAACAAGAAAAAAATTACACATCAGTGAACATAATCTGAGACAATATGTCGGGCAACTATGTCAATGTAAAACTATATAAAAAGAACAGATTTCTATAATAATTGGTTATTATTGATGAAGTTGATGATTATAAATGAAAGAATGAAGTAGTTCTAGTATTTTTTTTTTCTTGCGTTTAAACATCAAGGACAAATTAAAGAGTACTTGTAGAATAAATTCGCTTTGATTCACATTGATAATGTCGAAAAGAATACTAAAATATCAATGAATTATGTTTTTCATATTAATCAATTTTATCATATTGTAAGAATAACGTACTATGTAGTGTTTTTCTTTGTTTAATGTCATCGATTATATCTTTCATAAATTTCAATAGATCAATCAATCAGTATGAATCATTTTGAAAGAAACACGATAAGAGGTTATTATTATTGTAGATAGCCTTTTGATGTAATCAATGTGACAAGAAAAAACAGTCTTTTTTTGTACTTTTAAGTTATATGCAGTGTTTACTACAATAAGCCCATTCATTCATAAGACGTCAAATGCCATTCGTTTACAAGGACAATCATTAACTTTTTGTTTGGAATTGATCAACCGAGTTTAATGCAAATATTTAACACTTTAATTGTCATTCTCTTAAATGTTTGCTTTTGTATTTAAATAAATGCGTAAAATCATTAGAAGAATGTAGCAACAATTACCGAAACATTCTTATATAAGGTTGCTAGCTCTATTTATTTTATATAAAAAAAAAAAACATGTCATTTACAACACGTGAATATATATTTTTATGCTTATTGTTAACATCAAATAATCAGATTCAAATCATGTCTGATAAGGTTTTCATTTGTTTTCTAAATACGTAATGCGTAGTTGTAATTTAATTCGAGTTATCGTGACATTTTTTTCCATTATCGAATTCGCAGTACATATTGAAAGAAAAAGACGCTGTGTAGAAATTGATATCCTTCTTCATGGTCGGATTTTTTTTTCTTTTTCATACAACGATTTATATCAATCCATTCTCTTTCTTTTTCTTATATAGACTGAAGAGGAATAAAGGAAAAAAAAGAGAAGGTACGTCTGTTCTGTTCACATACGCATCAGCTGTATCCTTATCGCTTTTGTACAAAAGAAAAAGGACGTTAAGATCATTCGTTGCCTGCGTGTTCTTATAAAAACTTATACACGCGATCGTGTACTTTGGCCTTATCACAAACATATAAATACATTTGTATATTCAGCGTATCATTCTCATATTTTACGTCAAGTTGAGTCGTCGTTGTGAATTATATTTAAAACAATCAAAATGGCTTCAATGAATTATTGCTTCACTATTTGTCGTGCAGCTGAAGAAAAAGTTCAACAAAAAAATCATTCGAATTCAGCATCATCAGCTATTGATGTTCCGAATCCATCATCACCTAATACCGGTGCTTATTTCTTTGGAAAGTTTTTTTCATTTGGTTTATCACCACCCGCATCAGCAATCGATAATTCATTACTTTCCAAAGCAACGAATCTTAATGATAATATTTAATTCAATTTTGTTATTTGTCTTATTATATTAACATTTGATTATATGTTATGCATCAGATAAGAGAAAAGCAGACAAAAAAAAATAATTGCATCGACTTCTATTTGAATATTTAAAACGAATGTAGCAATATGTCTGTTTTTGCTTTTTATGTATATATATCTGTAAAATATTAGTACTATTTTTTTTTCTCCAATTGTACAAAGGAAAAACAAAAAAACAACTACTAATAAATTTGTTATATGTCCGGATTCATTTATATTGCTTTCCTATCTTTGTTTATACATGAACTGTAGATTTGTTTTGATTAAAGGAAAAAAATGCACAAATGGTTTATATAGAAACATCTAATAATTCTTCTTATCATGAAATAACCGGATGAAAAGTCTGAATATGTAAACAGTTTCTTTTCTTATTGTTCTTTGTTGTTGCAGAACGGAAGTTGAAGAATGATGCTTCGTTTTCCTTCGAGTCTGATAATATATTTTAATATATTCCATGTATATAATTATTACGCTAGACATCGAATTGAATTAAATCGATACAAGTTACATATATATATAAAATAAGATAAAAAATTGCTTGATTGTTTGTTTTTATTGTCAATATAAAGAAAAAACAGAATGTGGAAAAGAACATAAACAAAAACAGCAACAACAACAACAACAACAACAATTACCGATTATAATGGTAAAATATTAAATCGAAATAAATTTTCATTCTATGACGAACCATTAGATTTTAAATATTTTTTTCCACAACAATTAAATACTCACACATTGCTAGGCTAGAAAGTAAGAAGAAAAAAAGGGTTAAGAAACAGATATAATGCGTATTTTCCTGTCTAAAAAGAAAAGCAAAGAAAATGAAAACATAATCATGCAAAAAATAAGTGTACAAAGGAGAAGAAAAAGAAATGTGTTGAATGCCATATTATTATTTTCTTTTAGTTGCTTTTTTTTCGAGTCTATGAATTTGATCTGTTAAATTCGATTTGTCACGTTCTAATTGTTCTATTGTATTACGCTGTTCTTCAACTTTAGCCGTTTCCGTTATTAATTGCTCAAATAATTGGTTATTAACATTTGGAACAGATTGAGAATTTATTGCTGCGTCAATTGGTTCAGAATTATTATTGCCTAAAAAATAAATAAATAAATATGGCATGAAGGATACTGTCTGATAAGATAAATATCCTTCATTTGAAAAGTCATCCACACCATTTTGCAGTGGTAACTCGTGACGCATCAAATCGTAGATAGAAAATTAGTTTTTTCATCAAGTTTTAATGTTCTTAGACACCATATACCAGTTAAAGGATATTATCGTATTTGTGAGTGATTTAAGCAAATATTAGTTAAACAATACTTTAAAAAAAAGCTAATTTTTGGATTCCTAAAAATATAAAACTATTAGTTTTTTTTATACGAATATTTTTCGAGTGAAAAATTTTCTATTTATTTAATATAAGTTCATCGTGATCTATCATTTGACACATATGGATCTTTCGCAAATGACAAAAAACAAATTTTTTACTTTGACATCCCTAGAGAAGAGTGTAGGACTAAACTATTATAAAGATTAGTTTATATTTTATTTTGTTGCTGACAAATTTTCGATTCTAAGCAGTCGGTTATGATTAAATTATGGAGTTCTATTTGATTCAATAAATGTACTGTATCCTATGCGAATTAAAATTTTTGTATCCCCCTGTAGGCTCCTTCAAGAGTCCGAAAGTGAAATATTTTTTGCCATTTTCGAAAGATTCATATATGTCAAATGATTGAGCATGATGAACTTATTATTGATTGATCGAAAATTTTTCACTCAAAACTATTTATCACATGACTCATATACTTTTCTGCGTTGAGGAATCGAAAAATAGCTTTTTTTTACGTATTGTTTGGAAATATTACTTAACTAGTATATAGCTTCTCAGAATATTAAAACTTAATGAAAAAAAAAATTTCTTAGATACGATTCGATGCGTCACGAATTGTTTTACAAAGGAGTATAGATGACTTTTCAAATGAAGAATGATTATTTTATCCAATAATCTTTTAATTTGATATTTATTTATGAACCTGTATTTGATGTTTGTTCTGAAAGATTTTGTAAAAGTAAATTTTCTATTGGATTATCATTTGTTGTTGATTGTAAAAGTGGTGAAAGTAAACCATTATCTGCACCAAATAAATCTTCAATTGATGTACCTTCAGGTAAATTATCAAACATTAATTCGCGAATATTATCAAGTGACGATTGAATATTATCAACATCACCTGTTATATCATCTAACGAAAAGTTAATTTGTTCTGCGGGTGGATGTATTTTATATTGCTGTTGGTCTTGAGTATATAATGTTGAATTTAATGTTGGAGACGTTTTAAGATCATCTATTGGATTATGTTGACTTGGTTCAAATGTATTTGGATATTCAATTTGCTCTTCTTTTAATAATGTTGGAATTGAAATTTTTTTTACTGAGTTGTCATGATACTAAAATTTAAAAAAATGAAATTTCTTTTCTGTTTTCTTTTTTTTGGTAAAAATCATATAGTACTAGCTATAGAAGACTAAAAATATTTATTCATGAACGTTTGGCAAATCAAAGACTCAAGAAAGATGTCTGGACTAGTTTTCAGGCGCATGAAACAAACAAGAAATTGAGATTTACATTCAAACGAATCAGACAAATAATCTTTTGAAAAATTTCGATTTAATTCATTCAGAGAAAAGTCATCATTCTCCTATCTAATAATGAATTTACGAGGAAAGTCTTGCAATTGAATCATTCCTTTTGAGTTAGGGCTGCGTTCAATACGTAGACTCAAATGAACTATGCATACTCTGAAAAGAGTTCGGACTCTTAGCTTATTGCTGTTGCGTACGTCCTACTTTTTTATGATATTTTGTAAACGAATGCTGTAGGCGTCGCCTCCAGGAAAATTGATTTTTAAATTTCGACTTCAAGCTTTGTACAAAGACTGATCATATTGAGAATACCTTATTGTAAAAATCTCAAGATCTTTGATTTACTTTTATTCTGAAATAAGAGCATCGAATCGCCCATTAAAACAAAAATTATCCTCAAGCGGAGATAAATTCTTTCCAAAGTCTCCTTTCTATCAAAATCAAGAAAAATTAAGATACTTTTTTTACCTGCTCTGTTGAGGAAACCAGAAGAGAAATGAATGTACTTAGCATAGAAAAAAGCTGTATTAAAAATCGAATCTTTGTTAATTATTAATTAACACAAACAGTTTTCACTCCAAAAAATACTCAATTACAAAATAACATAAACAAGCAGTTTCTATATCTTATCAATAAATAAATCGTAGTCTCTGTGTGAAAAGCATATGTACTTACTGCTACAAATAAAAGATTTCTTTATTCGAATTCCTAAATGAAAATAATTTTCCTACATCTAATTCTTTTCTAAATTTTCCCGAACGTATGTTGGTACACACTATTGGATTCAGCATCTCTAGCTATATCTTAGAATAGAAACAACTACAAGAGATTACACATTCACCAGAAACGATTCTCATTAATGAGCGAATGTTCTCAACTAATCAATCGTTTTTGACTTTGAACACTATGCATTAGATGGACTCCAGGAAGATATGAAACAACTCAAAAGAATGAGTCTCTTCACGTATTCTGTCGGGAACTATGAGTATTTTACTAAAAACTTAACCTCGGGCATGGCATGTACTAACAAATCAAATGACGAGATTTCGATCTGAGATTTTGCTCGTAAGCAAGTCTATTTGTCAGTACAATCTTTTTCGATATATTAAGGATCCACAAAACTACCGTAAAAAGACTGTATCTCTTTCAACAATAAGCTCAAAGTCCTACCTCTTTTCAGAATATTTATAGCTCACTTAGAACAACATAATGCACATGGTCTTGACTTAAAAGTGATTATTTAGTTGAAGGACTTTCCATGTTAATCTTAATGTTCCTTATAAAAACTAAAACAAGTATGTATACTCTTTTAATATCTATCTAATTGAAATATCTATTTATTGTCATAAAAAATATATTACTATACATCTTAAAAGTCGAATGAATATTATATGATAGTTATATAACATTTGACATTCAATTATTACCGTTTTGATGCCTGTTAAATTCGTTCCTTGTGAATGCCCAATATTTCTATGTTTTTCATTAGTATTATCTGTACGGAAGAAAAAATCTGGTACACATGTATTTGGTACATTATCTTTCTTGGCGGCTGTTGGAAAAGTTATATTTTGTTGTGGGCGACTTCTTGGATCATGTACAGGAGGATTTAGAAATTGATTTGCCGAATTGGGCCATTGATAGTCATTTTGGTGTTGCTGCTGTTGATGATGATGATGATCTTCTGCACTTTGTGCTGATGGCGGTGGTGATGGGACAAGATCAACTAATGGTGATGCACTTGTTGTTTGAGTCCATCCACCTGTGTCATTATCTGTTAATTCATTGATTGTTACACTTTGTTGTCGATGAAAATTATTTAAATGTGAAAATTGTTGATGGTGTTGTTGTTGTTGCATAGTTGTTCGTTTATTTGGTTCTTCATTAGGCATAAGTGCAGCTTGTTTACGTTTCAATGTATTCGGTGATAAACGATGTTCACTTGATATTAATGGAGAACTATTTATATGGTCTGAAGTATCTGTTTGTTCTGGTTGAAGTGAATGAGGGGTTAGAACTTCATTTGGTGTTTGTTGTTCACCTAATTGTTCATTAGATTGTGCTGAATTTGCTGTAATGAAATGTAAAAGAAATTCCATTAATTTTGAAACAACCTGTTGTTGTTTAGAATGTTTCTGTCGTAATGAACCAATTTCACCCCATAATGCTTCATTTTCAGTTTGCAGATATGATAATTTATCACTTAATGATGTTTGTTTGGTTTGTAAATTTCGTACATCGTCAAGTAAATGCCTTAATTCTATAGAACGATTGGATTTTGAGTCAAGACAATTTGCTGAAATAAGTGCAGATGACTGATGAGAACCTTAAATAATCAAAAGAAAATATTATTGTTTTTTCTTATGAATACACTCATTTGTTAACAACAAGAAAAAAAGTCTTATTAATACCTCCTTGTATATTAGATTTTTGTTGACCATCTGGTGCACGTCTTTTGATTAATTCTAAAAGTGAATCTTGTCCTCTAATAAAATATGGATGTGCAAATTCAATATCATCTCTTTCATTTTTTAATGAACCATGTTCAATAGTTGACATTTTACGAAAACCATACATATTTAATTGACGTATGAAAGATGCGAAATTGTTATGTTTGAAATATCTTGGTAAAATTTCACGTGAAAAACGTGATTGATCATAAACATGAAATGATCCACCAGATGGATCCCAAGCAATAAGATCATCACATGATGAATCATTAACAAGTGCCCATAATTTAGCTAAAAATGCTGTTATAGAATTTTGAGATGATTGATTTGAGTGTTGTATGTAGTCTCCAGAATTACCATCACCTATATTCTTTGAATTCATATCTATAAAAAGAAAAAGTAAATATAAATTTCGTTAAATAATATCTATGTAAATTCATCTTTTTGTTAAGTAGTGGAAATTCAAAAGTAAAAAAATTTTTTGGATATATGGTTAGATAGAGCAAAAAAATTTGATCAAGAATGTGTGCATTTTCCAGCTTTCAAGAGAAAGTTTTCAGTTTTCTCAGATCACTTGTTTTTTCTAAAAAAAAACAGTCAATTTTCGATTATTATCAAATCTTCAGTTTTTTCATTCCCTTCAAATTTTGAAACTGTTTGTTAAGGATTGAGTATGACTCATTTACAAATGACTTTCTTAGATTCAATCTTTCACGCTAAATCCAAAATATTAAAAACACACATATTCTTCATCAAGTTGTCACGCTGTATCTAATCATAAATAAAAAAAACTTCTACTTTAATTTTGTACGACCAGCGCCTTACTTCGCGCCAATAAAACTTAATCACAATCTCTTATCAAAATTCATCGGTGTATATATTAACATAAAACGTGTTAATCAATCTCAATGATGAAAATAATCATTATTAGTGTTCTATGTAATATTATAAGTATAAATTGTATTAATGTGAATTATCTTGCTCAAAGATGTTATATATGTGAAAAAGAAGCTTGTGAACATCCAACTACACAAGATATTAAAGCTTGTTCTAATGATCAAAATGAAGGAACTAGTGGAAAAGAATTTGTTAATGGTGCTTTAG